CATTTTTTTTCCTCCAATAAATTGATGTTTTCAAAGTAAATGGATAATCGTTGTTAATAATCGTGATATCAATTATTGACCCAAATAATCGAGATTATGATTTTTGCCATAATCGAGCAGCCCTAGTTCCCACTTAACAATGTGCAACACACCACCACACTGCTGGCCACTCACTTCCCTAACACAAAGGCTGTAGTTTGATGCCAGTGTTGTGACACTCACCGTATGAGTGATGTTTTAGGTGCTTTAAGACGAAAAGACGCCCATTTTCTACATTAATATTGATCTGTTGTATTTGGCTCACCACCGATTTGTATGCCTAGATTTGACTGTTTAGCGTTATGTTGGCTGTAGTGTGAAGCTGCATAAGGAATCAGACTATATTAAATAAACAGTCTGATGATATTTAAAGATATCCAGAAGGGATGTGGCTTTTTCAAAGTTTGCTCCCAGCGGTTTTAAAGAGTGAATGTGTTTTTAAAACGGAACACTTTAATGAAGTGGTGCTCATGTAGCGTTATTGCAGCGCTATAACTATTTTATTCGCGGACAACCTCATAGAAAACAGTCACACATCATATTCATTATCGATCATATAAAACCAACATGTAACAATGTCAAATGTAACAAAATTCTCTCTAAAAAAAACGTTTTAATCAGCTGATACCGGTTAAGGACACCCTCATAATAAGTCTTTGGATTTTAAAACCCTTACCAATATAAAACACAAAATATATTTTGTTAAATTAACTGCATACTAATGAGTTTAACCAATACGTTACGACAGTTATCATAAAATCAATTTAGTTTAAGAATGGAATTGAAATGATATTATACCTTTTTGCAATTACTAACAATGATCTTGCCTTAGTGTGCAGTACAATTAACTGCATTTATTGTTCTGTTTTGACTGCATGGCATTTCAAAACAGAGCATGTGGTGTCAAATATCTTACTACAACACGGGACGCCCCAATCTACGCTCGTTAAATAATACAATGTGTGTATTGGAAACCAAAGCAATACATGGGCTGGTTCTGAAAGAGTTGAAAGGATTCTGCTCTGTTGCAGACCGAAGCAGCAGCTCTGGGTCAAATAATAAAATAAGTTCTTATAACCCAAAGAGCAGCGTGTAAAGGTCCAATCGGAGCAGCGTGCTCATAAACAGCTTGAAGCAGTGCCTCCAGGTTTCCATCCCTCAATGGGAAAATGAGAAAGCAGGAAGGCTTAGTACACACACAGCACAGGCATTAGATGTGCTCCTTGTGAAGTGTTCACCCCTACAGAGCTGCTGTGACCCGAGGCTTGTGAATGCCATTTCTGAATGCTAAGGTGTTCTACGGCATTTTACTGCTTAAAATGTAACTTATTCGTACAACAAAACCTCACTAAAGTCCAATATACTCTGCTATATGTCTTTCCTTTAAAGGCTAAGGAAGGTCTATATCAGGTTGTTATCCTGAAAATTCACTTCACGGCGATTTGAAATAAATAAAAGTGACTGACTGATTAGTAATAATAAGTGGGACAACTTTTTTTGAATGAAGCCCCTAATCTCACACTAATTACACTAATGTTCCTGAATCCTGGACCCTACTCTCTTCCATAAGTGGGTCAAAAAGGACCCGTATTAGAATAATATGTGTTTTTATGTCATTTTGGTTAAGAAAAATAATTTGTAATATTTTATATTTAATTGTTCACTATTTATACTTTTAGAAAAAAAAATTACATTTTGAAAAAAACCGTTTTCCCATAGAAAATTAATGCGGGTCATTTTTGACCCACTTATGGAAGCTTTGGGTAGTCATACAAAAACTACAATTTCTTAAAATGTAAATTACAAATTTGAATGGCATGATATCCAAAACATGTTTTTTGAGGAATAGCTGGAATATGAAATGATAAAAAAAATGTAATTACAAAGATACTTCAAGAAAACCACCTCACCGGGTCCATAAAGACCCACTTATGCATCTAAGGGTTATTAATGAAGCCCCTAATCTCACACTATTTACACCAATGTTCCTGAATCATACATGAAAATAACTTTGTTTTGTTATTTTTGTTATACATTACCCTACCAATAATAAGTGTATTGATTTAAGTGAAATCTATAATTGTATCAAGATATTCCATGAACCTTTGCTCAATACAAATGTGTATTGAATAGAGCTTGAACCCATCGTAATGTAAATCAATGCAAAGCTGTCAGTTAGCTCTATCATGAAGTTAAGCAGGACTGTGATGCCCACCTGCTGCTCAAAGACAAGCTAACGTCCTAGCTCTTCTGATTGTTTTCCTCCCGCGCCTCGTCGGTTTGCCTTTCTGATCCGTGAGCTCTTTGTTCCAAGCTGTAGGTATACGATGTTCAGTAAGGGATATAGGACTCATTTGTTTCAGTTTGATTTGTGCATAACAGACGACACCGAAGGAAAAAAAAGACAACGTGTTTGATATGTATATTGTAAGTATTTTTCAAAAACAACGTGAGCCCTTCATTAGAGGAACACAGGTGTGATAATAGGTATAGTTATCTTTGGAACAGAGAATATATTGGTTTCAATTTGCAATTTTCTGTTTAATTGCTAGGCGAAACACAAGAGATCCAGCTGCTTTTTGACACCCACATCACTTCTCTCATCTCTCACAGTTTGTTCCATCGCTGATGAGCGATGGAACAAACTGTTTTTTCCTTCGCTCTGTACGTCTACCCAGCAGCCACTGATCAATACTTACTCATGATGCCTGCTTTTTTCTCTCTTCGCCCTGCCTGAACCTTCTCCTTCTTTTTCCTTCCTGTCCATCCTTTGTTCTTTTCTGACGTCTCTCTTTCTTTTTCTTCCCACAATTGGTGTTCATTCATTTCCTTTCCTTTTTCTCTTTGTTTCCTATTCACTTTCTTTTTCACCTTCAATCCATCTTTTCCTCCTCCTTTGTCAAATGTCCTCAGCCTTTCCTCTCCATCCCTATCACTCTCCTCTCCCCGCTGCCTCTCTTCTCCTGCATGCACCACAGTAGCTGCCTCTAAGGCAATCAAACAGTGGGAGTTTTCAACACAGCAGATGCGCTGGATGGCTGGATGGGAGGATGGCTGGATGGGAGGATGGAGGATGGGAGGATGAGTGGAAGAGGTTGAGCAGCAGGCTTGGAGGAGAGAGGACAACCTGTTTTCGTGTCAGAAACGTGACAGAACACAGCTCCAGCCTAGAGTCTGGCTTTTAACGAGCATCAGTCAGGAAATCATCTCTTCTTATCTCAAGTCACTCGTTCACTGTTTTCCTTCTTATATCTCAGTTTCATATTGAGAACATCACAACTTAGCACAAGTAACACTCCTAATGTTAATGTGACAGGCATCGTGTTCTGCCTGGTATGACAGAGTTAATTACAATAGTGCCATGAGTCAGTATTTGCCATCCACGGTCTATTTACGCTCAGTCACACACAAATGACTGGGAGTGCGCGCCCGAGCTTCACGTAGCATTTACCCCTCACATATCGCCCGCCCTCCTCGTTGTTGTTATTGTTGTTACTGCTGCTGCCATGCTAATTAATTCAAGACTCCAATAATAAAGTATAAGTAGAACAACATAACGCCAAAGACCCGGGGAGCCAACAGCATAATTACACAACAGTTTAATTTGCAAGCGGTACATTGTAATTAACGCAGTGTGGTTTGTAAAGCGCCATCACGTGCATGTTAAACGCTGGAAATGGGCTTTAGACTGCTCAAGTGCTTCATCGCTTGACACATGAAAATAATCTGGAGACTGAATCTAAGGCACAGTTAACACCAGTTAGTAGGATGAAAGGAGGGTTGTGATACTGCAGCAGTGTGTGTGAGGAACAAATAATGGGAAAACATTATTAGTTATATGTGAAACCCATATGAGTGTGTTGTGTGTAAGAGGGAGACAATTCAAATGCCTGTCTGTGTTTGAAATGTACTTCATATTTAAATGTTAACAAAGAGCTTGGATTTATTTAAACAATGTGGGAGGTGGCCAAAATACTGGACAAGAAAATGAAATATCCCTCTTAGGCTAAAAAAACCTATACAATCCATTGTGTGAAACTCCCAGTCTTCGCTGTTTCCGTGTTCTTTCGCACCTCCTAAAACTTTGTGTCCCTCTGCCTGAATTTCTTTCTTATCGCTGCCAACATTTGTTTGCGTTTTTTAAGGCAGGGGGCTAGATAGGCTTTTACCAATCATATGGTCAGCGGTTTGATCCCACACCCAGCAGGCACTGACCTGGACAAATGCTACCTTCTGCACTCATATTGACAAGTGGCATAATGATGAAGAACACTCATGTGAAAACACAATAGCCATACAGTTGTTCTAGTATTTCAAGAGATACCTAATAATGGCTGTTGATGAAGAATAATGAATATGTAATGTTTTGTGCCCAAAAAACCCTCCCAGTCTTAAAATGTGCAAGATACTTAACCCCACATTGCTTCCATAGGGATGTCTGTACTGAAGTGCACGTAAGTTGCTTTGAAAAAAAATGTAAATAATCATAAATCATGTAATGTAATAGAAAACATTATTTTTAATATCTACATAAAACCTGTCCAATGTGACTGAAACGTCCACTTAATGTTTTCATATTTCTAAAGAATCTATTGCAGCCTGCTGCTGAGACACAGGAGGAAACGTCGCTGTCCATGGTGCTGAAAGTAAAGCTGCTGAAGCCGCCTGGCCCTCCTCGCGCTCTACAACCGCACCCCCCGTCACTTTTGACGGCTGCACGCGCTTGATTCGGCTCTGTCCTCTCTGCATGTATTGATTAATTATGATCGGGCCGGCGGGGGACCAGCTTTCATGTTAACGCCCGCCTCCTGCGCTGTCTCCCGGGAAAGACATCTCAACTACAAAACGACTTCCAGTGCGGCGGATAATCAACTTTTGTGAGGGAGAAAAAGTGTGGAAGGGCACAAAGGCACACACATAAAAGACATACGAAACACAAAAAACACACAAAAGAAGGCTACCTGTATAGTTTGGCGATTGTAGACTTTCACTACGTGGAAGTTAAAACTGTAAATCCCTTTGCGCGGTGAGATGAAATTACTTCTCTCTTCGTCAAAATTCTTCCCAACGTTTACTAGAACCTAAAAGAAAGAAAGAAAGAAAGAAAGAAATAATTAATTAATTGATACAAAAAATACTTTATCCTGCTTTTCTTTTACAGGATTTCTACTCAGATTACATAAATAATGTATACACAAACAAAGAGCATTTCAACAACTAAATGCAAAGTCTTCACTAAATGTAAACCCTTTGTTTAGTAATATTCTCAGATAAACATGGTTTATTATATCAAAATCTTCAATGTATTATCAGAGAGGTGAAACCTTTCTATAGTCCATATTTCATTTTTCCAGCCTACTTTTTCATCTCGTAATACTTCCTAAGATAGCCTTTTGAAATGGACTCTAAGGGCCCCTCAGGCCCCGGACCACACATGCAGATCCACTTGTCTGCTTTTATCTAGGCCCCCCCCCCCACTCTGTGAGAACTTCCAAACTTTATGGGAAATGAAAGGGGACTTAATTAATCTTTTAAATGGTATTTTCAATTATGTATCTGCAGCCAAATGACTGGTTTTATGGACAGAGGCGAACTGGCGTGTAATTGAACGGCAGTTTGAGAGATAATTAACCTTTAACGGGAGGCGGGGAGGACTCAGCCCTCGCGACCTTCCGTTACTAAATTATTTGGCGAGATGTCAGTTCCCATATCCCTTATTGTCAGCTCTGAAAAGTTGAAATATTCAAAGGGCTTGTCTACCAGCCCATTATTTCCCAACTGCTACCTATACAAATAATCGTTACCGTCAGAGACAGATTTATTTCCGCTCCGTTGTTAGTTATCTCGAGTGGAGATGTCCACGAGACCATTACCAGAGGTGCACGAGATGCAGCTGCGCATAAATCTAGCCACCATATCCACCCTGGATTCTATGAACTGTATGTATGCACAACATGCTCCTAAACTTTGTCAGCCTGAGGCTAATTGTACATACACCTTTTAACCCTAACCATTTGTATTAGTATCAACGTGCATCAAAAGGAAAAATAGGGTAATAGGAAAAAAACATCCTATTTTTTGTGTCTGGTGTTTGTATGAAATGTGTGACATTGAAGTCTACTTTAAGCCATTAATTGGTAGCTCAACGTGTATTCCTTCCAGGCTTTTTTAACAACCGTCACACAAAGCAAGCCATATACATTCTCACACTAAACCTTTAACTTTAAATGTTAGCTGATAATTCTGTCATCCGGTATAGAGTAATATTCCCTTGAAGTAAAATGGCGTGAAACTGACGTAAAACTGACTGATAACAGTTGTAAACTAACTTCCCTTCCTTGATTTGTTGGTATTGTTGATAGAGAACATAAATGTATTCTCCTACCCGGTCGAAGTAGATGACCATGGTCCGGTTGCTCATCTCGGAGGGTTCATGGTTGGTGTTCCGGACTGCGGAGAACGCCACTTTGGGCGCTGCCGGAGCGCACCGAGATCCCGAGTGCGGTCCCTGTGGGGTCCGCGGCCGGGTTGGAGTCGCACACCACGAGGCACTTCCCCTCCAGGATGATTGGTTCCGTCTCGTTCTGAGCGCGAGCCGGGCTCACCGCAAGCCACACGGCACCCAGGAGGCAAAACGCCAACATACCGGACCGAACGATGAACTTCTTCGCTCGTCTTCACACCGTCCGCCGCGGGTCTATTCCCCTTGAGAAAGTAAGGTGAAAGAGTTTCCCAGTGTTCCCCCAGATGAACCTTAATGAAGCTTGTTTACAACTAGATGCCACTCTCCGTCTTCTAGGATTGAATTTGCCACTGCGCACTGTTTCTCCCTCGCGGAGTCTCTTGGAGGGAAAACCACACGGTTTATTTTGAGGCACCTCTCCTTTTTTCTGAAATCAGTTTACTGTCCCTGCATCTCCAGTGGAGTCTCCAGTTTTCACCTCTTCTTTTCTTCTCTCCTCACTTCTCAGCAGCTTTGCTGTCACTTGGAAACACAATAAGCAGGAGTCGCGCGCTGTGCGGAGGGGCCCTGGACGAGTGACGAGGCAGCAGAACTCATAGCGCGCGGGGGAGCTCCGTCTGTGCTCTCTCTCTCGCGCGCTTGAATTATTGATATGTGAGATATGAGAGTTTCAAAACACAAAAGGCTCGAGAGGAAGGGACGAGGCTCGCGAGCGCAAGATGCTCCCCGCCCTGGTCCTACTTTTTTTTCACAGACCCCTCCCATCCCCCCGGTAACTGAGGCCCCATCATGGGATTAGCGCGTGCGCGTCTTCGATATTTTCCAATCCACTGCGTGCAGACCGCCCCCCTCGCCCCGCCCAACTCCCTTCTGTAGCAGCTCTCTCCTTCCCTGCGTTCCTCCTCCCTTAGTTTTTCTTACACAGATATATCTTTCTATCTATCTATCTATCCATCTATCTATCTATCTATCTATCTATCTATCTATCTATGCTATCTATGCTATCTATCTATGCTATCTATCTATCTATCCATCTATCTATCTATCTATCTATCTATGCTATCTATGCTATCTATCTATCTATCTATCTATGCTATCTATCTATCTATCTATCTAATCTATCTATCTATCTATCTATGCTATCTATCTATCTATCTATCCATCTATCTATCTATCTATCACTTCTATTTGTACTTCTCTCTTTCTTTTACTTTTCTTTCTCAGCTCCGGTAGCATATGTATGATCTCTAAAGTTTTCAGAGGGATTTAATTAAAGCTGCAAACAAATCCAAACAGACATGGTTAAGGCATAACAGTTTGAAGAAAAAACACCAAAATATCAGGAAACATTTAGCATCTTTCGTAGCGTGTCAGCGATGAAAGACACCACAGGGAGGTGGCAGCAATGCAGAAAGCATGCCAAATGAGCACCCCAGGAACAAAACCAACAGGGAGGCACACACAGAGTAGGTGCTTTTTAAAGGAGCATTCCAGTGAATACATATGACACAAACAAATTTGATGCAGCACAGGGGAGATATCTTGCCCATCTCATTGAACACGCTTTACTTTCCACGCCTTGAAGTAACTTGACAGCATCTTTTATTAGCTGTAGCCGTGTTTTTCAAATTCTACACTTACAGGTTTTCAGTTGGAATTTGTCGTATCAAAGCCTGAGCAGAGTCTTTTTAACTGAGTTATTTTCTTAGTGTTAAGAAAGCTCTCCGCAGTGATACAATCAATAGTGAAGCTGTGTGCATGTGATGAACAGGTTCCATCGCTCATCCCGTGCGGCTGCTGCCGGACGCTGGTTGACGCTGTGGTGCACTTCCGTAACTGTGGGAGACGGAGGAAACTAAATAACTTGATTTGCATGGAGTGTGATGCACTGGAAATGACATAGTGCTATTCTTGCACATACTGTGCATTCACATGGAGTCATTAGTGCACAAACTCAAGAGTTTTGAATTACAATATTTATATAAAATTGAAAAACTATTAAAAGCCTATTAGAAGAGGTTTATCCTCTTCCAGTAAACGATAATACTTTAATGGGCAGATCAAGTCTGAAATTTGACTTGCATCACAGCAGCCTCCATATACATCAACATAGACACATATCAAGACACAATACATGAAAAAACAAACAACAAATATTTAACATAACAGCACAATCACTGAGAGAAAACATGCTCAAAGCGCCTTCAGCGTGCATTTGATCTGGGATTTAGCTCTGTATTTACTGTGAGGATTGACTGATGCACAAATAGTGCTTCTGTCTGACTTTATTGAATCTCTGATTAGATGGTAGCAGTTCATATGTGCATCGATTTTGACTTTCGATAAATAATTTTCATAACAATGTATAATAAAATAGAAAAAGCATTAAAATCCCATAATAATATATGTGTCTTTCTCGTCCAGTAAATATTACAATTTCCCGTTGAATTGGAGTTAAAGGGTCACGTAACATGGTAGCTACTTAAAAACATGTTGACTTTACATAAAGAAACTGCTGAACTTTCATTACAATATTCATTAGAAAACCACTAAAATCTTTAGAAGGAGGTGTGGCTTATTTCATGTATGTGATAGTTCTGCATGCATTTGGAGTGATATGGTCACATGATTTAAAAAACTGTGACACTTTAAAAACCAACAGCAAGTGAATATGTGCAGAAAACTACAAAACAACGAAACTGGAATATGCTACATGTTATGTTCAGTTATGGCCACTTTAAATGTGCTCTGTGATATAGTTAGTTAGTTTGAGATTATCCCACTGCACACTGCTGCACTGCACATCTTTTGAATTGATAAAGTGTGTCTGTCAAGCTAACGTCTTGTAAAGTAGCTATTCCAAATAACCGGATAAAATGCGTGTGCACACACACACACACACACACACCACACAACACACACACACACACACACACCTCACACACACACACACACACACCACACAACACACACACACACACACACACACACCACACACACACACACACCACACACACACACACCACACACACACACACACCACCACACACACACACACACCACACACACACACACACACACACACACACACACACACAGACACACACACACACATCACACACACACACCCCACACATTAACCCGTACTTTTAACAATTTTGTAGAGTGAGCAGC